GTATACACAGAACTTGAGGTTAAATTAGAACTGCTCGAACAAAGTACAAACAATTTGAGACTATACAATCAGAATTAGAAAACATTGATGAGTCACAAATCGAGGAAGATTTTCGAGACAATTTGAGGATATATTTTGCGCAGCTAAAGCAAAAATCATTAACAAATTGTCGCTACACAAAACTACACTACCCCTTGTCGAGTACTCAAATTAATCAACACGAACCTTCATCATCGAGAGCTAAGGTGAGTCTTCCTAGACTGAGCTACCATCGGTTTAATGGACAACTTAATCAGTGGCTCAATTTCTTCAACTGTTTTCGGTAATGGTTGATAAAAATGATGAATTATCAAATGTTGAAAAATTTCAATATTTAAAGTCATGTTTGACCGGCGATGCGTCTCAACTAGTTCAATCGTTAGAAAATTACAGCAAACAATTACTGCAAGGCTCTAGATCTGCTTATATCACGATATGACAATAAACGTTACATATTTAATTCTCATATTCAAGAAATATTTAAAATTCAAAGAATGTCAAATCCAAACGTAATACAATTACGAAACTTCGTTGACTGTATTAATGGAAATCTTCGAGCTTTACAACCATTTGCATCAAAAAATCAGATTTCAGAAGGCATAATACTACAATTAATTGTCTTAAAGTTAGATATAGAAGTTGCAACAAAATGGGAAGAAGAAGTTTCTAACAATGCTAAGCAAAATAGTACAGACTCATTTTATTTACCAACATGGGGTGAGTTATCAAATTTTCTTGAACGAAGATGTCAATCCTTCGATATTATCGCAACCAACCACAACATCCAGATCATCTCAATTCATACCTAGAAACCAAACTTCATTCGTCGTTTCTGGTGATCAATATTGTAATCTTTGCGAAGGTTCGGATTATCATAACCCCTTCAAATGTTCATTTTTTACGAATATGGATCCTATTTCTCGTTATGAATTAGTAAAACGAAAGGGTTTATGTTTAATTGTTTATTCCCTAACCACATATCTAACAATTGTCCTTCGAGTAATCGTTGTCAACACTGTCGAGTAAGCCACCATACTCTACTACACAGAGAAAAGGCTAAACAAAATCCAATTGCTGCCGACAATGTTACCACAAATGAAGGTAACTCAATTGTAACACTCCAACTGTACTAAATGTATCAAGAAGCAGAAGTGATGTCGTTCTGGCTACAGCTTTGGTGGAATTGTCTGTTGCATCTGGAAAAAAAAATGGTGGCTAGAGCATTGTTGGACTCAGCCTCACAATTACATTTTATTACTGAAAGAGTTGCCCAAACTCTTCATTTACCCCCGTCAAAAAACTGATTTAGATATCTCAGGGATTGGTGATAATTCGATTAAAGCATATTACCAATGTTCACTTACACTTAAGTCTACGAATTACCCTCAAATATCTTTTATTAATGCTATAATACTTTCTTCAATAACAACATGTCAGCCACAAAATACATTAATACAGAATCTTGGAATATTCCCACAAACATAAAACTAGCTGATCCCAATTTTAATCAGCCCGGTTCAATTGATATACTCCTTGGTGCCAGTATTTTTTATGAATTTCTTATGGTAGGTCAAATAAAACTTCGAGATAATCTTCCTATTTTGCAAAAAACCTCCTTGGGTTGGATAGTAGCAGGCGCAATATCATCGATAGCGCACTCACCATCAGTACCACCAAAAAATTCCGTATTTAGTGCTACAATTCTCGATAAATTAAACGATTGTTTAGAAAAATTTTGGACAATTGAAGATCACCACAGAATAAACAAGGAGGAAAACAATAATGATTGTGAGCGATATTTCGAAGAAACAACGTATAGATGTCCACAAACAAACAAATTCGTTGTTAGATTTCCATTTAAACCAAATGCTCAAAAACTGGGGGAATCATATGATATCGCACTTAAAAGATTTCTGTTGTTAGAAAACGATTAAAATGTGACAAAAAACTTTATGATGAGTATTCATCATTTATTAATGAATATATAGAAATGAACCATATGAAATTACTGCCAAGAAAACAGGTGTCATCCAAATTGTTAAATTATATTCCTCATCATTGTGTAATTAAAAACGACAGTTCTACAACACGACTTCGAGTCGTATTCGATGCGTCGTGCCAAACTTCTAATGGTCTGTCGCTAAATGACATTCTTCTTACTGGACCTACACTGCAGGATGACTTGTTCACCATCTTATTTCGTTTTCGTTTACATCGTTTTGTTTTAATGGCTGACATTGAAAAAATGTTTCGGCAGGTCTTCGTCAATCCAGATGATTTAAGGTTTCAATGTATTTTGTGGCGTAATTCATCGATGGAAGAAGTGGATGTTTATCAATTACAAACCATTACATATGGCACTAGCTGTGCCACATTTTTAGCTACAAAGTGTTTACAGCAACTTGCTAAGGATAATGTAGATGTTTTTCCAACAGGTGCTGAAGTTACCCTTAAAGATTTCTACGTAGATAATCTAATGACTGGTGCTAATACAATAGAGGAAGTTATCGAAATAAAAAATCAAGTTGTTCAACTGTTAAAGATTGGTGGATTTCCATTACGAAAGTTTGCATCAAATGTTCCTGATATTATTAAAGATATTAGTTCATCAGATAAAGAACAATTAATAAAAATACATGGCACAGAGTTCATAAAGGCACTCGGTTTAAAATGGTCACCAAAGGAAGACAATTTTCTTTTTAACTACGAAATACCATTATCAAGGACAAAAACAACGAAACGTAAAATTTTATCCCACATCGCCACATTTTTTGATCCATTGGGTTGGATAAATCCTATCATCGTAAGTTGTAAAATTTTAATGCAACACATGTGGACACTTAAACTTTCATGGGATGAAAGCGTACCCCAATGGATTGCCACACAATGGGAAGATATTTGTCAACAAATGCCGCAAATAGCTGAAGTTAAAATACCAAGGTTAGTACAAATAAATTCTGATACTGAAATTCATGCCTTTGCTGACGCAAGTACAAAGGCCTATGGAGCATGCATATATGCTGTTTCCAGAATAGATGGTACATCGTCATTGTTGTGTGCAAAATCACGTGTTGCTCCGATTAAAACCAATTACATTACCCAGACTTGAACTATCAGCTGCACTTCTATCCTCTGAGCTACTTAACGAGGTATGCAACATAAAAAATGTTTCCCCTAATAACATTCATTGCTGGAGTGACTCTTCAATTGTACTATCATGGATAAAAGGAGATGCAGCAAAATGGAACCAGTTTGTGTCTAACAGAGTTCAAAAAATCAAAAATATTACGTCAAATTTTGAATGGCACTATTGCCCAACAGCAGAAAATCCAGCAGACTTAGTGTCTAGAGGAGTAAAAGTTGCTGATCTCATAGACAATAAATTATGGTTTGAAGGCCCAGAATTTCTCCTAAAAACACGCAATAATTGGCCACAATTACCACATCACAATTATGAAGATATTCCTGAAGAAAAAACTAAGGCTGCGACTCTCATCGTAAATCAATCACCAAATATATTCTTCGATTTTAAATACATCAATAATTACAAAAAGACTCTAAGAATTTTTGCCTATGTGAATAGATTTATTGCTTTAGTTAAAAAAACAAAGGAAGTTAAAAGGGGTCATATCACACTTGATGAAGAAAATCAAGCATTATTAAAAATCTGTACTATTATTCAAGTGGAATCCTTTTCTGAAGAATATAAGGCATTGTCCAAAACTAACGTTATAAATCACCAATCAAAATTAGTACAACTCTCACCATTCATCAAAGATGGTCTTATTCGTGTAGGCGGTCGTCTTCAGAATTCATCGTTGTCTTTCGATGCCATTCACCCGATTGTATTGCCTAATCATCACCCATTTGTTCGAACACTCATTAATCACCATCATCGAATCCACATGCACGCTGGAACTCAAACACTCAACAGTCTTCTTCGTGATCGCTTTTGGATTATAGATGCTCGGAACACAATTCGCCACACCATACACAATTGCATTATTTGTTATCGTTGTCGACCCCAAATATGTCAACAAATAATGGGATCATTGCCTAGAGATAGAGTCGAACCTTCATACCCATTTACTATTACCGGAGTGGACTATTGCGGTCCGTTTTCAATTACTCATCGTATAAGAGGTAAGCAACCAACAAAGGTATACATTGCCGTATTTATTTGCTTCACAACAAAGGCTATTCATATGGAGGTTGTAATGGATCTTACCACAATAGCATTCATAGCTGCTCTAAAACGATTCATAGCCAGAAGAGGCAAATGTAATACCATATATTCAGACAATGCTACCAATTTCGTTGGAGCAAATAAGGAACTGAAATTATTACTTCAACATTTCCTATCATCGGACCACATAGCTGCCGTCAGCGAGAACTGTAACCAACAAGGTATAAAGTGGAAATTTATACCTCCCCGTTCCCCACACTTTGGAGGTTTGTGGGAAAGTGCAGTAAAACAAGCTAAATATTTTCTTCGTAGAGCTGTGGGCACCTATCTCTTTTCGTATGATGAACTACAAACCGTATGTTGCCAAGCTGAAGCAATAGTTAATAGTAGACCACTTACACCAATGTCCAGTGATCCCGATGACCTTCGCGCAATAACTCCCTCACATTTCCTCATCGGTCGAACAGCTCAAACAGTACCAGAACCTTCTGTCGAACATTTTGTGTCAGGAACACTTAAACGATATCAACAAATTCAATGGGCTCAGCAACATTTTTGGCAAAGATGGCAAAGGGAGTATCTGAATGAGTTGCAAAGAAAACGTAAATGGACTACCCAGTTTGTAAACTTACAGCCGAATGATATGGTACTAGTTAAAGAAGATAATTCACCACCAATGAAATGGCATCTAGGTCGCATAGTGGAGACAATAAAGGGCCCAGATGACAAGGTTAGAGTTGTTGTTGTCAAAACTAGTGATGGTCAACACAAAAGAGCTATTACAAAAATATGTAAATTACCAATAAATTGAACCAGCATATGGCGGGGGAGTATGTTTAGCCCTTAGTGGGTTAATTAATCTTATTATTTTTATTATTCCTCTTCCTTATTCTCTTAATACGTATGTACATATGTTTGCAATATATGTATTTAGTATTTACTCACTAATGTTTACCATTATTATTTCTCTTATACATTGTTTGGAAATTGTCTCATCAGTTTTAACAACAACAAAATAACTTTAACAACCGTAAGCATCCACTCTACACAATGTTAGCACACATTTGTAGATGGTGCATTACAACAACGAATTAAGTAATATTATTGTCGTTATTGCATATTAAAATACAAATTATTCAAGGTTAACTTCTTTATTGCAACTTTCCAGTAGAGAATGTAGATCAAATGAAGAAAACATGTATACAGATTTTTTTTAGTAAATTTTTAGCTGCTGATGAGACAAGTAACAAATATTCATTGTAAATAAAGGAAAAGCAAACAATAAAGAACTTTGTATTAATTTTAAATTGAATAAAGGTCTATTTTTTTTTGGATTGAACCAAGGGATTTGAAAACGATCAAATCTACACAGTGAGTTTTCGAAATTTACTTTAAATTTTAGTAATCGATTCGACATTCTCTTACTTGTTGGTCACATTCCAGTTGAATCTATTATCTATTTAAATATTTCAAACATTTATAAAAAGTATGAAGAATGAAATAAATTGACATTTCATACCAGTAATAACAAAAAAAAAAAAAAAAAAAAAGAGTCCTTTTGTTAAAATTATATGTTTTCAATGTAATTTAAAAACACAAAAATACATTATAAAAGCAAAATTGAAAAATGGCATTTAAAAAGCATAGAAAATATAAAATTGAAATCAAAATACTTATAGACAATGATTTATAAAAATTGACAATGATTAATCGACAATAGCCAAGAATGCAAAGAAAAAATCAATTTAATATTAAAGATTTAAAGAGAAAATTAGTTTATAAAGGAAATATGAATAGGCTAGGACTCGAATTAAAAAAAAAATTTTACAATTTTAACATAAACATTAAATTTTGGAAAAAAATTACGCTAATTTATATTTTAAAACAAATTTTAAAACTGTAATACAAAATAGGCATAAGTTCGTTTGACTGCCATTTAAGAACTGCTTAAGTTTAACATAATATTTAACTTTTATATGGCTGGAAAATTAAATTATAACATAAAATGTTATTAACATGTTTTTTCATTTACCATTCTGTTTCTAAATTCACCACATTTTTTCGGATTAATGTTAAAACTTTTCATGCGCCTGCTCTTTTCTAATAACATTTCAAATGTTAATATAACATTTCCTAATATGTAATTGAAATTACTCTTAACATTTTATGTTATTTCATTCCATACTGTTCCCTTTTAAATTTAACCTTAACTGAGTATGTAATGTAATATTTCATACAACAAACCGGAAATGGTTCATTCGTTCGTTTATATTTGGCAAAAGTTTTTATTTCATTTTATTGCTGTAAAGCATAGAGAAAGCATAACACACATTAAATAATACCGCTATATTCATTCTCTATTTAACGGCAATTTTTGCACTTTTGCTATTGTCGTGTTTTGTTTTTGTTCGCATGTTTTTTTCCCTCAAAATAGAGAAAAAAGAAAAAAAAAAACCGAAAGCACACACTTGTTTTCGTCGTTCGTTGTCTAGGTCAGTGGTAAAATTTAAGTGTGTATGTTGTATTTCCAGTGCAATATCTCTATGTAGTATTGCGTGTGTGTGTGTGTGTTTGTTAGGGAGTTTATGTGTTTTGATGCGTTTAAATGTATGGGTTGAAAGATTTACTGTACAAGGATCTGAATTTGCAAATTATACTTAAAACAAATAAAGGAATTTTACTTTTTTGCATAAATTTTGTACCAAAAATTAAATGGACTTGGTTGTTTTTTCTCAATTAGGATATTATGTGTTACCTTATGTGAATCAGCAAAATCGTCGAATAATAAAAACTGAATTCTCCCAAAAATCGAACTAGTCAGAAAAAACCGACCATAAGATGCCCTACACCAGTTAAAACTAGTACATATTATATATTTTTTCTAGAATTAAGGACGATAAATCCGTTTCTATAAACCGAACAAAAATAGAATTTTTAAAATTTCAATTATTCCCAAAAAAGGACCAAAATTTTTTTAACTTTAAAGTACCAATGGCATAGATGGGGCCGATTTGAAATTTTCCAAAAATATATAAAAATTATTACCCTAATGTACCTACATACATACATATGAATGTAATATTGTAGGTTTGTTTTTCTACATATTTTTTGTAGAGATTTTGTTGTTTTTATTATGGTAACTTCCTGTTGTTGTGTTTTGTCATAAATTGCAACCGTGGTTGTATACCAAAAATACAGACAACAAAAACATCAACATCAATATCGAAAAATAACATTAGCACCAACAATAAAAACAACAACATTTGTTGCTACTGTTGTCCGGTGGAAGATGATGCTAGGGCTTTACTTCGTAGGCCTTCTTAAAATGTGTAGTTTTATAAACATACCCAGCAAACATATACATACATATATATAGAAGTAGCGTTTGGATTGGACATTGGAGGCAAGTACTTACCACGCTAGCTTACAAATAACTATTTAAATAAGTACTTACAAAAAGGGAGTTATAATATTATTTTCATTTATGCTTAAAAATTGCACAGAGCTCGTTAGTTCGCTGTCGTCATATAATGGTTTTCACACAGAAAAATTAGTTTATTTCTGCTTGTGAGCGATCAAATAAAATGTGCAGATAAAACTGTAAAACTCAAAATAAAATACTTACGTGTTTGGTAACATATAAGTCATTATAAGAGTGCTTAAAAGTAATGCAAACGATATGTAGAAGTCATTGAAAAGTAAGTTAATGAGTTGTGTTACCGAGTTTTTGCTGGGTACGGGTATAGACTATTTAAAGACCATTCCTTAAGCTTTAAGCTGAAATCATTAAGAATTTTCCCCTAATAACCATCTATAAGGGCTTGCTTCGTCCGATCGTCAAATAAACCTTTAGTTTCGAATAGGCCTATGATTATAGAAATCACATAATAGCAGAGTAGGGGAAAGACTAAGTGGGTATTGTAAAATTGAAATGATTTTGCAATGCGGGTTCGTATATTTGTTTCCGCAAAATAAGGCCTGTAGAAAGGCCTTTTCACAGCATCGCTTTTCCAGCTGGGTTTTGAATATACATCAAAACAAATACATGTATTGTATTAGTATTAGTAACAGTATCAGTTTATGTTTTTCGCCAAAATGATGGCTTTTGTAACATGTTGCAGGAGCGCTTTTAAACGAAAACATGTAATATTTTTACATTTGAGTATGACGAAAATTTTTTGTTGTTTTTTGTTATTTGTACTTTCCTTATGGACCGATTGTCATAACATCAGTTAGAAAGATTTTAATTCTCGTTTTTTAGGTCAGAAATGAGCTTTAAAGACATGTTCTGAAAGAGACCTCACAAGGTAGTATAACATTTGGAAGAGATTTTCGTTTTATTTATAACTTATTGGTTTCTAATTTTATTACAATACTTTTAATTCAGTCATGAGCGTTATAATAATTATCTAAAGAGGTATTATATGTTAATGTGGACCGATCCTCGATTTTCATGACTGTTCTCAAATTTAAAAGCCAGAAATTAGTGGCATTTTCTGGAGAGGAACATATACGGTCATACAATTTGGTAGAGGGATCATCGTTCTTATGGAACTTATTTGTGTCATCGATGTACTCGTATTTTTAAGCCAGTAATGAGCCATTTTCTGTACAGGACTTTGTATGGACCGATCATCATACAATTTGGAAGAAAGATGTTGGTATAAGACTTCTTTATGTCGATTTTAATCGCTATATATTTATGAATTTTTAAAACAGTTATGACTTGCTAAATTGTTTTCGGCGGGGCCACTTGTGCAGGGGCTATGCGAAAACGTGGACCGATATTGTTCATTTTCAATACAAAAGAAACCTTATATATTGGGATAATCTACCTCTTTCCGTTCGGACCCTATCGTGCTTTCAACACACAGACGAATGGGGATGACTAGATCGTCTTAAAATTTAAAAAGGATGCAGAATATACAATACTTTTGTGAGTTTGTGAGTCACAATTGCCACTTTGGTTATTATTAACCAAAATTGGTTATTTTTATTTTGCATGTGTACATGTAAATTATTTTTTCGTTTTGGTTATTTTTTTGCAAACAATTGAACTAAATGCTGTTTGCTTTTATTCTAAAAATAAAATAAAAAAAAAAAACTTCTTTTATCTCTAGTTTTAAATCAACTATGTAAATATACATATCGTCCTGTTTTGAATTTTGGTAATATGTGGAATTTTTTTTACTATTCGAAATTTTTTTATTACTGCAATTTGTAAATCTACTGGTTATACTTATGTGCTCAAAGGTATTTTTCGATATCTTTATTGGTTAGGATTTAGCAAAAGTATCTATGAGTTTTCCACATATTAAATGAGTTGATTAAAATCATAACAACAGCGTAATATTATTTTATTTACACTAGTCAATCTAACACCGTGAATAATGAATCCTCTCTCTCCTTTAGGTGCATCCATGAACTTAAAATCAGTTTTTGGGTCGATTCAAACTCGTCCGTCCTTCCTTTAATATTTCTATTGGAACTTTTTATGTAAAGAACTCGCGATACTTATATGAAAAAACGAAGTAGGCTGTATTTCGCATTTCGATTTTTATGGAATTTGCTGGGAATAGTCTACGCACTTAGTAGATTATGTCCTTCAAATTAAATTTAAAGTATAATTGCAACTTCTATACCTATTTGAAATTTTGCATAAACAGATACTGTGCTAATTTGCCGAAATTTGTCGGATAATTTGGATAGATTACGTTTACAAATATTGCTGAAGTTATGAATGTAATGCTAACATCCGCTACATGGTATTATAATTTGGTCAAATATACCCCTTTAACCCAAATTTCGAACGAAATCTCCAAATCTGTACATAAAATTCTCATAATGTATTGCAATATAGCAACAAAATTCAACATAATCAAGGTTTAAAGGAACTAAAATATCTCTGTCAGATTTTATGAGAATTGACCATACGTCTCATATAAGATCCCGTACAGAAAATTACTTTAATGCTCATAACTGTCTTCATAATACCAGTTTAGCGACGAAATTTAACATAGTTCCACTTCAGAAAATGAATTTGTTACTTTAATGTCCAAATGTAAACATGAAACAAATAAAAATAATTTTGTTTACTTTTTTCTTAATTTGGTTATTTTTTATTCGAATTTTGGTTAGAAAAAGATTTTGTTGTGGCAACACTGTTTGGGACTAATATTTTTGCGTGTTACAAACGGAATGACAAAATCAATACATGTATGTATACCTCATATATTCTGATGTTGGGATTCAAAACTGATGTTCTATAAGAGGGGTTATATAGGAAGTATATATATAATGAAATTTAATAAAGATTTTGAAAATTAGTCTAACTTCTTTCGTTTGGGCCCTATCAGTAGTTGATACTGTTCTAGGCTGTCAGTTCTGGGGTTCGATTCCTAACAGAATGTCCGGTAAAGAGGCGCACAACAGGCTCGATAGTGCTCTAGGAGCATTTCTTAGGATCTGATATGGTACAAAGATATGTATGTATATGTACTTGTTAATGGCACATAACGTGTTGTGATAAAAGTATAATTTTGGGTGGAAATGCACATTTAGCAAGATAAATATGTACATATATATTTAAAATTATATCAAGAAGACACCAGAATTCAATCATACCTATGTATGCAGCAAATCTCTGATAAAACAAATTAATTAAAAATATTACTATTTCTACACAAAATCTTTGATTAAATGACTTTTATTTTATAAAAGAGAAACTTTAAAGTAACCAATTTATTTGCTGCCATTTTATAAGTGGTCATCATTGTGTTACATGTAGTTTTATAAATTAATTTTATAAATATTTTATTTTCAAACATTTTTATTCTGTTGATATTAATGATAAAACTGTCAGCTGCAATTGTTTGTAAATGGACAACAAAAACAGTTTTGTTTTTAACGACTCTTAAAATACATATAAATAATAATAATAATTAAAATAGACATTTTTACAAACTTATAAAAGAACAACATGTTGCAAATTTATTTATTGTTATACATTCAAAGTATTTTCTATTAACTTAATTGATTTTATTGTAAAAATTAATATTTACATAGATTTTCATTAATAAAAAACCCCTTTAGGTTATATTTGATTACTTGTTGACAAAATATGTAAATTTTATAAAATTGAAAATATGTAAAATGAAAAAAAGAAAAAAAAAAATAACAAAATATATTCAATATTTAAATTAATATTAATTTGTAAATATTTACTTTTACATCACAATAACAATTTGTTACATATAAATATAGAATAGTTATGTTAGAACTAGATACAACTATGCATGTTTATGATATAGTTAAATATTTTATATATTAATTTATGTGTTATTTTCCCTATGAGCATGTGTTTGATTTACAGATTTTGGAAAAATGTTTCCATCTAAAAAAAAAAAAAAAATCAAACAAACAGGGATTTTAAATATGGGAAAGTTTAACTTATTTTTATAGTTTATTTAAATAAACTATAGTCTATATATGTAGTCACAAAGAAAAGAATTTCAATACGATTGTATTTTTATTAAATCAATGTACATGTTTCATTGATTCAATGTACAAGTTTCTTTTTTTTTTTTTCTTTTTTTTCGTTTAGTGTATTGTCAAAAATGTTTTAATAAATACATTTAGTTAACTACTTTTAAATTTTAATTCTACATAACTAAATTCAATTAATTATTTAAAGATTTTTTAAAAATCTATTTAAATATAACTACAATTAATATTTTTAAATACATTACTAATCAACATACTCTACTACTAAAGTAATATATAAAATTTACACAAATACTTTCAAACTTAAATATTTCACTACAACTACATCGATAAATTAAAAACGAAAAATTACTTAAAAACCTGTAGATGATGTTCGGGCATATGAAGTTTTTCGAGCTGGCGGCAAATCGGAGGAATAATTTTGAAAACGATTTGAACAATTTATGGCCTGAAAGAAAAAAAGAAAATTAAAAGTAATTAAATCTATAAATTGTTGTACATATTTGAAATATTTTTATGAATGAACTCTCGTAAAAAAATCTCGTAAAATATTAGAAAAAGTACTCATTTATGGTATAATCTTCTAGACCAAAAAAGAAACAAAAAAGAATCGGTTTAAATGCACTTTAGGGAGGTCTTGATCTGACCGGGTTTGTACTTTTTTTAATAAAAAAGTACTTTTTTATCATAAGAATGATTTGTACTCACTCAATAAATAACTTAATAACAAAATGTCTAGTAATGACTTTCTTTGAATTTGTTATAGAAGTGCTTATTTTTTGGTTCGACAGTGGTGCAGTGAGTAGAACAATTGACTAACAAACATCAAGTCCTTTACTCGTTTATTAAAAAAAAAAACAAAACTACTTATTGAACTAACTCTTTGTAAGCGAACATGGTAAGTACTTATTTAACTCCCTATTTGAACGCGAGCGAATGCAAAACTTTATTTACACAATAGCATTTTTAGTAATTTTAACACGGTGATGCCATTGGAGTTAAGTAATTATCACAATCGCTTACAAGTAATTAGAGTAATCAGTGAATATGGACTAGTCTACTGATTCGTTTATGGACTAATTTACTCACAAAACTATTGATAAGTCTATGAACATTATCTATAAATAATCATGTACTATGGAATGTACAAGTCTAGTCTATAACTTTTGACTAGACTAATTTGTTGACTATATATGGACTTGTCTAGAGACCAGTCTCTTGACTCAACTAATCTATTGACTATATATGGACAAATCTTTTGATAAGTTTAAGGACTCTATTGTCTAGTATATGAATTAGTCTATGGACTAATTTACTCACTAAACTATTGACTATGTACAAGTCCATAGACCAGTGTCTTGACTGGACTAATCTCATGAGTATATATGGACTATATATGTGGTCTATTGATATGTTTAAGGACTATTCTATTGTCTAGTATATGAACTAGTCTATGGACCAATTTTGTCACTATACTACTGACAAACCACACTCTTAACTGTACTAATCTGTTGGCTATATATGGACTAATCTACTGATTAGTTTATTTAAATATAACTACAATAATAATTTACTCAATAAACTATTGACATGTCTATGAACATTATCTATGAATAATCAATAGACTAGTCTAGGTATTAGTCTATAGAATGTACAAGTCTGTAGACTAGACTTTTGACTAGACTAATTTGTTCACTATATATGGATTTGTCTAGAGACCAGTCTCTTGACTCAACAAATTTATTGACTATATTTGTATGAACTAATCTATTGATAAGTTTAAGGACTCTATTGTCTAGTCTATGGACTAATTTACTTACTAAACTCTTGACCATGTACAAGTCCATAGACCAGTGTCTTGACTGGACTAATCTCTTGACTATATATGGTCTATTGATATGTTTACTCTACTGTATAGTATATGGACTAGTCCATGGAATAATTTGCTCACTATACTTCTGACAAACCAGTCTCTTGTACTAATATATGGATTAATCTACTGATTAATTTGTAGAATAATTTACTCACTAAACTATTGACAAGTCTATGAACATAATTTATGAATAATCAATAGACTAGGTATTAGTCTACGTAATGTACAAGTCTGTAGACTAGACTTTTGATTATACTAATTTGCTCACTATATGTATATGGACTTGTCTAGAGAGCAGTCTCTTGACTGGACTAATATTTTGACTATATATGGACTAGACTATTGATATGTTTAAGGACTACTCTATTGTCTAGTATATGGACTAGTCCATGGACTAATTTGCTCACTATACTGCTGACAAATATATGAACATTATCTATGAAAAATCAATTGACTAGTGTATGTAATAGTCTATGAAGTCGTCTAATAGTACTGAATTTTCCATCTTTAAATCTTAGTATAGCATAAGATTTTCATGTAGGAATATCTCTCAATCGAAGCGTGTTAATGTACTGAACACGAGAAACATAAGGAATTTATTTTTTCGAATGATTATACATATTTGAGATTTATTTTGAAAGGATTGCAGAAAATTTGCACTGAGATCAAGATTTTCAATTGCAGGTAGGGAACTGAGGCCTTTAACAAATGGTCCACGGGATACCGTAATGTATGTATGTGTAAACATACATAAATATTACACCTAGAAAATGCTGTTGTGATATTAATAATCATAATAGTTCAAGTTACAAAATCTACTAGTTAAAGCTTAATTATTATGGTTTAAATTATTTTAAAAATATTTCATTTAAATTTTAAATATAAATTTTCATATTTTCTGAAAACGCTTAACCTCATACACTATTTTATTTGACGCTAACTTTTCAAACCAAAATACAAAGGACTACGAATTTAACTTGTATTTTTAATACATTATTATTAAATGAGCCTACGGTTCAATATAATTATTACTTTTTTTTCAACTTTATCATAAATACATTCTCTTATTACCGTATGTGCATTCAAATTATGAAAAAAAAATAGTATTTAATATACGAATAAATTAATATAAAATATGAAATTTATTTATAAGTCCAACAAACACAACAATTTTAACGGATTTTTTTTAAAACAAACAAATAAATAAATTCTTACCACAATCATAAACTATTTAATATAATTTCATGATAAAAATATACAAAATAAATAAAAAGCAATGGCCGATACAGGATAAAAGAAACGAACTTATTAAGTATTCGATACACATTGATGGCATAACGATAAAGTGGATTTTTGTTTGTCACACTTAATTAAATTAGTTATTAACTTATTAAAATAACCAAGGATTTATGGCGAAAAATAATTTTCATATTTAGCAGACTTTTAAAGAAAATAAAGATGAAATTAAAATTAAGCTCACAAAAATAACTATATAAGCTTTAAATGTTTGTATTTTGGTCGGAAAAAAAATCTGAATTAATTCCGGTTTCTGAATACATTGAGTCAGTTTTCTATATAATTTGTCTTTCCTATACATATGAGTGTTATTTATATCCAAAAAATATTAAGCAATTATTTTATAATTTAATTCAACATAAATAAATTTAATGAAATTAAACAAAAAATCTTCAAAATTTAATTAAAAAAATCAACAATGTGTGAGTTGTTGCTGTTGTTGGTTTAGTTTCATTGCATTATTGGTGGTGTTTTTTTTTGCGGTAGTAAAATGTGGTCAATTTCAATCAATTAGAAAAAGATTTAAAAGTTATTTACTTGCAGTTTCATTGTATGTGTATTTTTTGGTTTAATTTTATACAAATTTTAATAATAATAGTGGCGCCTCTATATAATGAAAAGAAAAAAAAATCATAATTTAAAATAATGTGTAGAATATACAGACCGAAACATAAATATATAGATTTATATGTGATCAATCATTTGCTCATTCATACATATACGAGGGTTACTACTTATTGTTGCAAGTAGTTTGTCTACTTTTAAAATTATTCTACTCAAACTAGTACAGAAAACCAATTAGAGGTGTGAAATCGTACGATTGTGGAAAACAATTCACTGGTCCTAAAGATTTGTTAACAGGTATCTCCCAATTCACAAAAATATTTTATTTTATTTATTTACTGAACGTGGACTACGTAAGTGACTATCGGAAGTTCTTTATAAGATGGTTAGGAAATACAAATGGGGGCTTGCATGTCAAGTGACCATACTTTTGAAATCGGGTCTTGTGACCGGGATGAAATTTGCCATTGCTATGTCTGTCTGTTCGTCTATATATCTATCTATCTATCTATCTATCTATCTATCTATCTATCTATCTATCCTATCTATCTATCTATCTATCTATCTATTCTATCTATCTATCTATCTATCTATCTATCTTCTATCTATCTATCTATCTATCTCTATCTATCTTCTTCTATCTATCTATCTATCTATCTATCTATCTATCTATCTATCTATCTATCTAATCTATCTATCTATCTATCTATCTATCTATCTATCTATCTATCTATCTATCTTCTATCTATCTATCTCTTCTATCTATCTATCTATCTATCTATCTATCTATCTATCTATCTATCTATCTATCTATCATCTATCTATCTATCTATCTATCTATATCTATCTATCTATCTATCTATCATCTATCTATCTATCTATCTATCTACATCTATCTATCTATCTATCTATCTATCTATCTATCTATCTATCTATCTATCTATCTATCTATCTATCTATCTATCTATCTGTCTATCTATCTATATATCTATCTATCTATCTATCTATCTATCTATCTATCTATCTATCTATCTATCTATCTATCTATCTATCTATCTATCTATCTATCTATCTATCTATCTATCTATCTATCTATCTATCTATCTATCTATCTATCTATCTATCTATCTATCTATCTATCTATCTATCTATCTATCTATCTATCTATCTATCTATCTATCTATCTATCTATCTATCTATCTATCTATCTATCTATCTATCTATCTATCTATCTATCTATCTATCTATCTATCTATCTATCTATCTATCTATCTATCTATCTATCTATCTATCTATCTATCTATCTATCTATCTATCTATCTATCTATCTATCTATCTATCTATCTATCTATCTATCTATCTATCTATCTATCTATCTATTTACCTATCTATCTATCTATCTATCTATCTATCTATCTATCTATCTATCTATCTATCTATCTATCTATCTATCTATCTATCTATCTATCTATCTATCTATCTATCTATCTATCTATCTATCTATCTATCTATCTATCTATCTATCTATCTATCTATCTATCTATCTATCTATCTATCTATCTATCTATCTATCTATCTATCTATCTATCTATCTATCTATCTATCTATCTATCTATCTATCTATCTATCTATCTATCTATCTATCTATCTATAATCTACCTATCTATCTATCTATCTATCTATCTATCTATCTATCTATCTATCTATCTATCTAT